GTCGTGCTCTTGAGACCAATGTCACCTCGTATCCATGGAATGTGATTTTGACAGTTGGCTTCGTAAAGTGTAAAACTTGACCAGTTTTTTTCGAATTTCGAAATTATTCTTTGTAACTTAATTCCTCATCCTTTCTTTTTTAGTGCATTAGACAAATTCGAAGAGGATGCACGAGTTGGTGATACTCTCATAGTGAAAGTGAAGCGATGTGATATTGTGGGTGCATATGTGAAGCCCTTATGCTTCGCCACACGCATAAAACGTGATTTGGAATGGCTTGATTTACAGGTGATTTTTTTCATATTGATCAAATATTTCGAGGCGTGACAATCCATACAAACGTTTTTGAATTTATCCATGTAAAATGCGGACCGAACATTATGCAAAGTACACGTAATCTTGGTTGTGTTGGCATAATCGCGACTGGAAATTATATTGAAAGCTCTGCGGATGAGAGGGACTCTTTTCGATTAGCTGTGGTGGCATTGCGTCTTAGCCATAGTGTGTAAAGAACTTTGCCATTTATTGAGCTTCATTCATAGTAAAAAAAAATAGTGCCTCAAGTCCTTATCAAATCGTTATCGTTCTTATAGGACCAGTCTGTATGAGTTGTTCAATGGGGCGTGAGTTTGCTTTCGCTTTTTCTGGCAAGGTTTACTCCTGGGTACCTCGTAACCGGGTAGGAAGTGGTGTAGTGGCAAGTGGCACGCTTACCACGCGAGCGGTCCGGGGATCAAATCCTGGGTCGTGAGTCGCCCGGGCCAACCAAGCCTTCCATCCCTCCGGGGTCGGTTAATTGGTACCAGACTTGTCTGGGAGGATAAAAACACTGACTTGTACATCGGCTGGCCCCCGCAAGTCATTGTATAGGCCACATCGCATTCAAACGCCACTGCGAATGTACAAATGGAAGTAGAATGCGTGCCGCATCCCAAAAAGGGATTGATCAACGGCAAATGCTTTATCCTTTATGCTTCATCCTTGACCTCATAACCGTGACCTAAACCCCTAGCCCACCTTCCTCTTTTGCAGAAGCTGTCTTCAGAGACGATAGCTATTAATGTTTTTTCAAGGAAAAGCTATTCTTATTTATGGTTAATACTACAATTTTGAACATAAGATTTAGAGTTGTGGGTCGTTTTGCCCCCTGAACGACGGCCCATCCTTGCGGATAACCCTAGTTTCAATTTTTTTTTTTATCACCGGATCTTCTCAACCTTCAGCGGTTCCTTGTGTCAGTCTCGTGAGTCAAAGGAAAGCTGGACTAATTTCGCATTCTTGCGAGAGATCGGTCACTCAGCAAGGCGGCTACAGTGAAGCAAAACCTCACAGAAGTCGCAGCTGAAGCTTTGGGAATCGAGTGGTTATATTCATACTTAAAATAAAAATGCTATTGTACCGCATGGAACTCTGCTTATTACGTAGAAGGGCCAAAAAGCGAGGTTACAGAAGCCGGCTATTTACTAGTGCTCCTTGACATATAGCTAGTCTAAATAAAATCGGCACAGATTGAAAAGTGATAGGGTTCAAGATTGCACAGCTTCGCCACGAGCGGAGTTGTTTTGTGTATGCTGCATGTTTCACGAAACTTCATGTTTTGGGTCTATTTCAGTTGCTAACACCTTTATCAGCACTTTCACGGCGTGTAGCTGTGGGACAGTACCTAGAGGCTCGAATATCGAGTGTTAATCCAGTAAAGGTGGAACTTCTTGAAGTATGTTTGATTAATATGATTTCTTGTTTTTTTTCCCAGGCAGATGAAAACTAGTCGCATTTAAAGATGTTTAGTTTTGGTAATTCGGTGCAATTGTTCTACATCTGTTTTTGTATCACCATTGACAATGTTACTAGGAAAAACTTACTCTTGCCATTTTCGCATTTTCATTTATGACTATTGAGGCTCCACCGCTGTCGTCGAATGAACTCCCAGAATATTTCAGGTTAGCTGGATGGAGCCGTGTTTTTTTATTACTTTTACATTTATCGTCACTTTTGTTGTGCTCAATTTAGTCTGACAGACCTATCAGTAGACTTTGTTTGAAGTTTGTTTTCTGTATTGGTTAGGACATTCCAGTAGCGGCACGCGCTAATGGAATGCACTAACCGGCGCCATAAGTGAAAATCTCTCACGCGACGTTATGACCATCCTCCCAGTCACTCTCACAGCATTTCAAAGTGAAGGCGACGGGAACGACGATGTGATTGCGATGTCGCGACGGTTGGCATGTTAGGCCTACACCATGTGTTTTCGCTTGGCCTTCACATTGTTTAAAAAAAGTACATACTTATTCATAATGCATCGATATGGTAGGTATCAGACTTTGCGACCAGTCGCTAGCGAGTCGTGCGATTCGCTATTACTGCATGGTCTGACACCTGCCTTTGTTACGTGGCTTATGCACTGCATAATTTGAAGATGTGGCCTGCTGAAAAGTGTGATTTAGGATTGGTCGTGATTTACCACGGCACACCGAATTCCGGGACTACATAGAAGAAAGTAAACTGATGCGGAACACGTACCTAGCGCAAGCACTTCATTTCCCCGTGACTTCTTCGTACTCGTTTTTGAAGCTGGAAGGAATAGAAACGGTATTGTGATTTCACTTGATTATTATATTGAACAGAAATACTTTGCCGTTTCATTTTGGCTAACAGCTTTGCGAATTTTCATTGTTCACTTTGATGTCGCTCGAAAGTCTGTAATTTCACACATTTTGGAGTATAACAATTCTTTGCTCATGTCAGCAAGGAGCATTATGTGAGAGCAGGAAGTATTTTTTATGTTGCATCAGCACGCAATAGCCAGTTCATAAGTGCAACGTCAATTAACCTTTTGTTGTCGAAGCAAATTGATAACCTGTTACGTATCAGGAGATGCTCATGACTGTTAGACCGCCGTCACACTCGGCGACGGACAAGCGATGGAGCTATTGCGATCACTCCATCGCTTGTCCGTCGCCGAGTATGACCGCGGTCTTAGTTTTCAAACGACCTCAAACTTATCAGAAATGATCAATGACCCACGAAACACATGACCAAGGAAAATGGGGGAATCTAGTACTCATCCCAACAAACTTGGACCTTAATGCAATGTTCTATTTTTAGCTTATGAAAAAAAACTGAACTTATTTGGTCATTGTTGCAGGACCGTGCAGAACCTGCGGCGGCCATACGTAAAAGGCAGAATGAGATGCTTGCCGACGAGTATGTGGTACGAGGCGTGGAGCACATGCGGTCTGGCAATCGTGAAGCGGCCATCGTCGTGCTCAATCAAGCGCTAGAAATAAATCCGCATTGTGTCGAAGCGCTAGTGGCCAGAGGCGCAGCGTGAGTGGAGTTTTTATATTAAGCTTTGCATCATCGACGTCGTGCGTCCCAACTTCATTTGGAGGCGGATTCTGTGTCGGCTTTTTGTCTGCGGCGTCTCGTAAGTGACAAGACCTAGGATTGGAAGTAATTATGAAGGTAGTGTAGGTTCAACGAAGAGATAGGGTTCAGTGTAGGCCATGAGAACTTTCTGGAGATCTAATGATAAGGTCAAGGGGGTGATCTAAGTTAGAATATTGCATCATATGGCAAACTTCTGCAGTATTCCTTAGTGCACTGAGATAACATGCTTCATTTAAGTGAAGCTAGGTTTGAATTTTTGATGTTCCGAAGAGAGAAATGAGGCATTTGTCGCGGTGATATGCAAAATGCATAGGCCCGATTCAGAATCCGATTTGTGATCCGACGAACATTGCACATGCGCGTGATGCGAAACGTATACATGAAACGCACAATTTCTTTGCGTCGTCTTCCGCAGATATTCGACAAATGGACACTACGTGCTGGCTGAGGCCGACTTTGATCTGGCGCTCTCGCTGATGCCAACCCACTCGAATGCTCGTAATTACATGGTGGAGACACTTGTGAAATATGCATCGCTGTGAGTTTTTTCTACTTCTAATGTGCGATGTCTTCAGAAACAAGTTTTTTATGCTTCAAAAAGAATTCTTCGAAGTGGAAATAGTTTTGTTTGCCATTGGTGAAGGGCTCTTCATTTGCTGCACGTGGCAGTGGCGTCAAGAAAAGTTCTCATTCTGTTTTGCTTGCTTCTTGGTGCCGAATGTGCTAATAAGTCTGCATTTGAGAAAATTCACATTGGTTAATGGGGTGTATAATTGGCAGCCTTCAGACTTCTGTTTCAGGTTGGAAGTACAAGGTGATTTGGAAAACGCGAAAAGCAAATTCGAGAAAGTTTTGCGGCTAAAGGAAGACAGACGAGCGAGAACAGCGCTAGCGAAGCTGGATAGGAAGAAGAGAAGTCCCTCTGTGGAAATATGTGAGTTCAGTTCTGATGTCATGCCGAGGAGCTAGACATCGTTTATAATTGGTTATCGCGCGGCCGCAAACTCGCAGTCGTAATCATCATGGAGTGTGCCCATTCCACGCGGTCCCAACGACTTTCTGTTATGGCGCTTCACAACAAATTCACACATAAAGGCATCTCTCGTCCAGACTTTTGAGACTGTCAGAGCCTGATTTCCCCGAAGATTTTAACATTTCATGTTTCAGTGGAGAATGATAATGACAAGCCTGAGTCGAAAAACGCAAAGCGCAGCGATGTCGAAGAGGAAAAGCGTAAACGTCGAAGCACTCAAGAAGCTGAGCGAGAACGAAAGCGGGAACGTAATGATAATCGCAAGAAACTGCGAGAGATGGAAGAATTCATCAAGGCGTTACGAGAAAAGAAATGACTGCGATTGTTGCTCGAATATCCTTTTGGTATCGCGTTGTTAGCGTGCGCTCTGTTCATTGTCTTCCTTGGCAACTGGTCGGGCCAAGTTCTTTATATCAGGTATTGTTTGTTTAGTTGTTTTGCTTTGTTGCAGCATTTTCAATGGGTCGTAATATTTGTTTTAATAAAGCTTTGTTTTATTCAATGCTCTGCTCCATTTGTGATGAGTGGGCTTTTCCATGATTATCGTCGCAGTATTGTATTCCTGGTTTCTTTTCATTTCTATTGTAATTGTGTTTGAACTTCTAGAATGTCGTTGTGCGAGTCACCGCCGTATGCACACTGGACGATGCCTATGCATCCATTCATCGTTACAGTGTCTTGATTTGGCGATTCAGTCGCTTCTACTGAACCATGGCCTCCTCCCGTGTCCACTGTCGTTAGTACCGGAATCGCCACCTCCAGGCCTCGTGAAGACCCTGAATGGACTTGAAAAAGTAAGTCTGATGGTGAATTTATCCTTGTTTAAAAATTTGACATCTTTCCTTTTAGCTCTTTTTCTGGCACTATTACCCTTTACTGCCCCACTCCTCAAGAACTGAGCCGGATTTTGATCGAAATTCGTCCATGACTAAGGATTTGGCTAGAAACTTGTTTCAGGGGTAATTTGACCCGTAGAACACGAATATCACACCGGTTTAGCGCGAAAACGCTTGGCGCCCGCGCCACAGGCGCCGGCGCTATCACAACAGTTTTGCGCGGGCGCCCGTAGCGCAGGCTACAGGCTCACTCGCAACGAACTAATGTGATATTCATGTTCTACGGGTCAAAGTACCTCTGAAGACAAGTTTCCAGCGAATTTGGTGATCCGAGGTGTTTTGGCGCGAGCGGTGAACGAATGTGATATTCGTGTTCTACGGGTCGAATTACCCCTGAAGGCAAGTTTCTAGCCGAATCCACAGTCATGGACAAATTTCGATCAAAATCCGGCTCAGTTCTCGAGGAGTGGGGCAGTGAAGCTTTCTTTCTTTTCTTACCATCTTTTCTTTCTAGAACTCAATAGGAGGCTGTTAGAAAGCTTGATCGTCTGACGTTTCTGCGAATTTCGTTAGAGTCTGAGAAGTCGAGTCAATTCATAACAATCCAACCAGATTGGTCGCTGCTCTACAGAGTAGTCAGGCAGCCGCAAGATGGGCCACTCACCGTAACCAAGTTCGGATCCTTCGACCATCCACAAGCCCGCAGTAGTAGCAGTTGCAATCTGGACTTTTTCAAATGCAAGTCACTACTGAAAGTGAAGCCTTGTATGAGGTCTTATTACCTAGTTATCATAATACCTTTTCCCCTTCGATCCATTTTTGGACTGCTGACCTAAAACCGAAACGTCTTGAAGGTTTTTCGTGCGAATGTTTCCGGTTCTTGTGGTACGACTTTGTCACCTCAGAAACGTCCCCGACACGGGTTTGAACTTTGTGGGCTTCTAGGCACAAAGCACGACGTAATCTATTACTTTCCAATCTATCGTGCGTGCTCTATCACACGCAGACAGAGCGGCCCAGCCGTCTCGCCGATATACCATTTCCACGAAATTTACAACCACGCCACAACCGACCCTATGTTAGGTTGGCCGTCCAGTAACGGCTCTCAAGGGTCTGGATTGTAACCGGTACTGCTACGGACTTGTGTATGGTAAAGGATCCGAACTGGATAAGTTGAGTGGTCCATCTTGCGGCTGCTTGGTGTTCTGTTCGATTTTGAACCTCTGCAGGGCAGCGACGACGTTTCGTCGGATTGTAGTTGACTCGAATTTTCAGGCTCTGACGAATCACCGATACGAAACGTTAGTCGATCAAGTTTTCTAACATCCTCATGTTGAATTCAATAAAAAAAGGATGGTTTTATGGTTAAGCCAAGGTTCGCACAGACCTGTACATGGCAAATTCCTATTAGCATTCGCAAGTCGTTTTCATTCATCACACCAAACTCGTGTTTTGAGAGAAGAACAGTTTCCGCAGTGCCGATTTTAAAGCAAATTCTACGATCAGTGTTCCCCGGCATAAATGCTTCGAAGTAGTTTTTGTTCTATCCCTGATATTTGCCACCTGTTTACATCGCCGGTTATGCACATCGAATCTCACCCACATTTGTGCACTGCCGGGTAGGCACGTCGGTATTGAGGTCCCCTTGAAAAAATTGCCATTACTTTTTTGCCTGTTTGACATTTCACTAATCCCATGGACACAGTACACACGGTCTTCGACCAAGAATACACAAGCTCAATGGAGCGATTACCACTAGTGTGACATCGAAATACACTGAAATTGGCGCGGGCGTCAATGTGTTAAGGTACCACAAACTACCACAAGACGGCTACTATGGGTAAACGAACATGGTTCAAGCTCTCCATCATTATTGCCGTAAATGGGGGCGGAAGTGGTGTAGTGGCAAGTGGCACGCTTACCACGCGAGCGGTCCGGGGATCAAATCCTGGGTCGTGAGTCGCCCGGGCCAACCAAGCCTTCCATCCCTCCGGGTCGGTTAATTGGTACCAGACTTGTCTGGGAGGATAAAAACACTGACTTGTACATCGGCTGGCCCCCGCAAGTCATTGTATAGGCCACATCGCATTCAAACGCCACTACGAATGTACAAATGGAAGTAGAATGCGTGCCGCATCCCAAAAAGGGATTGATCAACGGCAAATGCTTTATCCTTTTCATTTTATCCTTCAAGTGGGCCAACCCGAAAGAAAAACGAGTGACGGTGGCTGTGAAATAGATAATCATCATCATTGCTATTCTATGCAGTCCTTCTTATTTAGTGCACATTTAGGTTCGCGAGGTACTACGTAGCGTTTTTCGCTCCAGATATCGTCGATCTATACGTGAAGTGGCAATATGCGTAGGACCCAATCCTCACCGCATCAACCATGCTTACAGTACGTCACGTTCTTTTTCCTTTCTTTTTAGTTTTTTTTTTGCATTCAGCACATTGTAGCCTTGGAAATTCGAACTGTGAAGCATAGCTCCGAAAAAAAAGACCGTGACAGTAACCATGTGGAAGACTGTGTATAGCAAAGTAGGCATGGCGTTCCATTCAAATTCTCCACAGCGAAATGTCAAAATGTCTGCGATGACCTTTAGGACTCTTGCTTAATTCGTAAATAGTAAATAATTACGCAAGTTCAGAACTTGACTGATCACTTGGAATTTTCCAATTAGTGATTTAGATGTGCACCAATGCGAAAATTATTTGCGACCTGATGTTTAGAAATGCCAGTATCAATATGTGATGCGGAGGATTCACACGACGAAAACTGTGGCTCGCCATGCAGCGCATTATCGGATGTGGAGAAACGTCGGATCAATAGGCAGTTGTTTTTGGTAAGTTCGCAGTCTAATATTACAGGTATTTTTTGTTAATCTACTATGTAGTGGAAGCCACGGTCTGAATCGTGTGCAGGACGTGTAGTACACGAGAGAGTGCTAGTCCCAAGGACTTTTTGAGGGCTTTTCGCGGCGGAAAGACAGGACTTTTTTCATGGCTGGTCTAGGGAGTGATGTATGTGTACGTGGTTGCGCGTATATCAAATTAGAAGTGGGAGTAAAGACAGGATTGGCCAAAATTATGAGAACAATGACATTAAGTCGTCAAAAATGCATATTAGTTTGATGGAACAGACAAACGTTGAAGGTGTCTGTCACTCATATCACAAAGTGAAACCAGATTAGGATTGAGACTGTCTGTACTGCGTTTACACGGACATGAAGAGGAATGGGTGTGCAGAGGCACTCAACTAAGTCGTATCTTTTTGCTTTCCTTTCCTCATGGAATCAAAAGTTGTATGTTGTTTCACTCGTTTACTTCCAGAATTTACCATTCAGAATTTGCAGACGAATTAGATAGGGAGTTCCTGGGTAAAAAGTAAGTTCCTCGATAGCCGTGATCGTTCGCAGACTTTTGCTTATGACTAAGCGCTTTTTCCTGTTAAAATGGTCCAACGTTGAGTGCTTGAGTAGCTTTCTATCCGCGACAGAGGTGAAACCGTCGGAATGCTAGTTAGATGTTTATACCAATTTTTTATTCTGGCGATACGGAAAGCGCAAGGAAGAGGACGAGTTTCTGCATTTGATAGTTGTCTTGGTGTAACGTTCGAATTTCCGCTTTTGCCAGCTAAGTAATGCCCGAAACTATACTGGAAGCGTTCATGCCTGTTGTCCATGCAGCTTTTTGTTGGTTCGTTGAACTGGGCACGTCTACACTTAAATTTGTCAAGTGCCCGTAATCGGTTCAATTTGAGGCATGCTAAGTATGCATACGTGTTTTTTCTGAATTCTAAACCTGAGTGATTTTGATCCCCTGGAAGGTTAAGACGAATATCGTTGTACCTTATCAATAATAAACACAGAAAAGGTGGTGGAAATGGAGCGAGTCAGAAAAGGTGGATGTGACCATGTGCGTACGCTGTCCTCATATTTAGGCCCATTCTATGCATGAGGTGATTCTTACATATTCGCCAGGGCAGCTCCATGCAAGAAAACAATATCTTAAAAGACTCCACCTGGTGAATCTAGCATGCAGCCCGTGACATGGGTTTTAAGAAAAAACTCAAAAACTAGACATTATTGAGCCTACTATTCAAGATTTTGCTCATAAGATATGCAGCTGAGCTGCACGCGATCTCGCAGCCAGAAATCACATTCCATGCACGATTTTATAGTTTTCCGTCGAGTATTATCGTGAGTTAGATACGCTTGCCAGGGAAATTCTTCATAAAAAACATACTAAATTTTTTCCTATTTGTCGACCATGCACAGGTGTTCAGGCATTTCCTCCGGAAGAAGCACGCCATTCCGGCCAGCGAATGTTCGTCTTTATTCGAGGATACGACGAGCTAGTGAGAGAAGACATTGAGGAAAGGTGAGAGAACTTTTTGAGTGGTGAATGTGTGTAATGAATACAACAGTGGTTGGACAAAGAGACCATGGAAAAAGGGTTTAGTAATTCCTCTGAACAAATACTTGTTGTGTACTGATTGAGAGATCAAGCTTCAGGATATAGGACAGCTTTGTTTGAATATGCAGTGCTTGCTTTTTTAGAAGAAACCTACTGGCAAGCAATGGTGACGAATTAAGAGAGAATTTCACAATAAGGTCGGAGGCCAAAAAAGGAGACACTTGTTTAGTGGGAAGACAGTAAGGATATGTCCCCGGCAATCCAGCACGGCCTTCTCCGCGGCGCAATTGGCGCAGTACCCTTCCCTCTCGCTATGTGACACCAGCCGTTCAGCAGAGAGAGAGAGAGCAGTGGCGTTGAAGAGGGCAGCACCGATGAGAGTCGCATCAATGCGGAAATCAACGTGCAAGAAGGGGTCCCATTTCTCGGGTTCTAGGACCGTTTCTCAAAATTTTTTTTTACTCCTGCATCCACCTCTATCCTTATTTCTAATGAGCTGTCTTTTCATCGTGGGAACCACCTTCCTTACGCGATCCAGCTTTCCGAATCTGGCGAAGGTGTGCAGCAATCGTTGTAGCCTGTTTTTAGGACTGCAGCAAGGTCCATCCTGGAGAGCATTCAAACAGTTCGACTCGCACAACTTTCATAAGTCGGGATGACACATGATACAACTAATACTTGAGTTGTGCTACTGGATATTCTTGCACATTGTCTAGTCCTGCGAGCAATGTCTAAGTCAGGCTGTGTCACAAACGGTGAACCCGCTTCCTGGCGCCCGAACCCTAGCTGGGCTTCTCATCGACTCCACCACGCTCTTCCTGCGCACCCGACAGGAGGAGCGGACCCATCAACCCCAGGATACAGGAAGCTCCTGCCGAGGCTCACCTTACCAGCTAGTGACAGGAGCTGACCTAGGTGAATAGCCCTACTGCTCCTGATGAATACATAAAACAATAGCAAATATGTATGATTTACAGTAAACCCATATAAGTACAAATACACAAGAAATATGAACGACTACAAACATTTATTTTTTTACTTAATAACTCACCACGTCCTCAAACTCCCTGGGCCACCTCACTCAGAGGTGAGCCCCACCAGCTGACTCAACGTATTAGACCCCCACGTTGGCTCGGCTTCTTCTGGGGGCTCCATGCGGCCGACGTGTCCTATCTGGGATGTTGTAAGGGCTGCTCCCAGACGGGGAGCAGGGGGAGGACACGACCGGCTTTGGGATGACAGGCGCTCCGCCAACATGGACTACGGAGCGACGTGCCCCTTCGCCTTAGCTGGCCTCATCGCGTTGCCCGGTGAACACCGACCTGCCACCGGTGGCCAGCCTCCTACGAGCACCGCACGCGGTCGGTGACTGTAGGGCGACTAACTGGCCTCGACCGCAGGGGGGTGGCCAATGGAATGAGAGCGCATTGGTAACCGAGCGGTGGGCCGGGGCGCGCGGTGCGCCCAGAGATTACCATCACACTCGCGACAGGCTGTATGCTTAAAGGATCGAAGATTGGAAAAATTACCTAGTGAAGAAAAAGGTGAATTTCTGAAGACCACTGTCACACTCGGCGACGGCGGTATATGGGTGCGGAAACACGCAGTACGCATCGAGGATATGCCACAGCGAGCTGGCATGACCTTCCTTTTGGCGCAGTTGGCCCGGAACTCCCATCGACATAGCAGAGGTAACGTTACGTTGAAGAGGTCACGATGAGAATCGCATCAATGCGAAAAGCAACGGGCAAGGAAGAGGTTCCATTTCTCGGGTTCGAATTTGGGTTCCTCGTGTCTTTAGTTCAAGATTCACACTTGCCTACTTCACACCTCTGCCTCGCACCTCGGCAGGCTTGCCAGTGGCATACCCTCGCTTAATTGGTTGAGGTGCCCTGTGACCTTCCCCTAACGATGCCAATACATCGAAATAGATGAAATAAAGTTTATCGGGGCAGGCTCACAATAGTAATAGTAATGAAATAACTATATATAGATATAGTGTATTTATATGAGAAGCTTGACACATGGATTTCAAAAAAAAGATGGTAAATTTGAATCGACGGTGCATTATTTATCATGAACCCAAATATCTCCTTTCGAGTTTTATTACATGATGTAAAAACAAGGATGAGTAGAATTTTTTAAATGAAATATATAAATCTTGAAAAAAGCACATAAGTTAAGGTTGAAATGTACGCACAAATTTAATGCTTAAAAGTTTTTTCGAGTGCATGGAAGTTTTCAACTTTCGGGCAATAATAACTTTCGAATCAAGTTATTGCAACATTCCAGCATGCATCAAAACAAAGAAAGAAGAGATATTGAGAATTACTTGGAATGTTCGAAACTGCCTTGGAAAATGATCACCTCTGGAAGCAGACTGGTTGTCGTTTTCGGGGGTTTGTGGTCCAATTTTGTGAAGAGACGAGTTTTCAATCCTTCAATTTTCCTACACACGCAAGCCTCCAACCTTCGAATGATGATGTTTTTTTTGATATCGTCTTATGAAAAAAGGGGAGCATTATGAAAAGCTAGGAGCCTAAAAACTACTGAACCTGATCACAAAGTCACAAACCCACAAATACTTTCCCACATTCATTTTTTCTGACCCTCTGGGACGTCAATTCGCCCAACTGCTTGATCCTGAACTTTGGTTTTCTTTAACAAACAACGGTTTTCGCAAAATAGCATATATCCGGGCCGTGGAAATTGAAATCATACAGGCCTGCGGCAATTTCTGTTAGGATCCGAAGTGTGTCGTTTCCTGCTACGGCAATTCCCTGACCTGCGATCTTATAGCTACATACTGCAACAAAATACTCTTGGCAGTTTTCCGAAGGAACGGATGATTCAACAATAGACAATGTGTTCTACTATACGTTTTCTTAGACACTTAGCTTTCCTACTGGATTTTACGTTCACCATTCCCCCATAGCGATCGCCATGCTTTCGGCTATCGAGAATCATGACCAATGTGCGCGGCAATCTGAATTTCGCATAATTTATCTCTAAAATGCAAATGTTATCATCGCAGTTATTTCGTTAGTATTATAAGTTCTTGCCCTGGTCGGTTTGTCTCGTTTTTTTTCGGGGTACTTTGACATCGTTAAGAAAGGTCACGAGGCAGCTCAACCAATTAAGTGATGGTATCCCACAGGCACGCCTGCCGAGGTGCGAGGCAGAGGTGTGAAGTAGGCAGAAGTGTGAAATCTTGAACTAAAGTCCCTCACCCGAATTTTTTTCCACATGGTCTTCATCCCAACTTCACTGACCACCTCTACCCTAATTTCCAGTAAGCTATCTGTTCATCGTAAAATTCGCTATCTTTAAAACGAGGAGAGGTCATTCACAATGGGAGAGGCGTGGCGTTTTATGTGGCGGCTTTTCCTACAAGTTCGTATACTTCGATTTCGAGGTACTGAAAAAGTATGTGTAGGCTAGCAGGTGCTACACAAATGGGATGAGCACGCTGTATTTCTTGCATAAGGTAGGCGCGAAATATAATATGTAAGTGGGGACTGCTGCCCACTACTGTGGTGTCACGAGAGTTGACGGAATTCGAGAGCCGAGGGAATTGTAGGCCAATCAAGGGGGTGGGGGGTGAGGGTAGTGACTTGACATACGTGAAAAGGGAATGTTTGAATTACTTCGTAGCGTCTCGTCACGTCATAGTAAAGGCCAGCAGTCCCCAACTACATATATTTCGCGCCTGCCGTATTCCAATAATTCGCCATTCCCATCCCATTTGTATTGCGCCGGTTAGCAAAAAGGTAGGGGGCTTCTAGTGGTCAGCATGCGTGAGGGCTTGCACCTATCATAAGTTAGGCACGATTTGCTATGAAATTCACAATTTGTTTCTGAAACAGCCCAGAGACTGGAAAAAAAAGTGGGCAGTAACTTCTGCAACCTTTTCTCTTTGCCAGAAGTGGCCATCACCTAACGTGATGTTGTTAGCGAAGTGTAATACTTTTGCGTTTTCCTCTCATCTCTTCTTTGATAAAGAGCATTTTGAAGTTATTCAAAAGTTCCTTGATTTTCAGTGATGTGTTCTTCCATGACGATAAATGTAGTGTGGTTGAATTTGACCATGAAGGATGCTCGACGCAGCTCTCTGAATCCTCCGAAAGTGTGTATCGATGGATGCGTGTGGTGCCGTTCATTGTGCATGGTAAAGTATGAAGTGATTCGTGGAACTCGTACTGATGGCTTGAGTTCGTATTGATTACTTCTTGAATTTAGTATATGGATTGGTTATTGTTAGTGATGTCTATTTACCTCTTTCTATGATCTCAGGGGAGGTCGTTCAAAGTGTTTTGTGCTGAGCTTTCAGATTGTCTATTGGTTTTTATTTGACATTATCTCTATTGATGCTCGAAATGTAATGAAATTTTCAGGCTGTTGACCAAATTGTTACTAGCATTGGATTATGTGGTGCTCTACATTCTTTATATTCACTTGATTTCCTTTTTAAACAAATTATTTCGTTTCTTGTATCTGGAAAACATGAGTAACTCGCTCTTACTTTTTGTTGATTATTTTGTAGAATTATTGATGATTATTTAATGTCGTCGTCATTCCTCACAAGAGGTCTTGAATGAGACGTTGTTGCATTGGAATCACTCAGTGAATGTAAATTTATTGTTTGGATCTCACTGTCTCGTAATAAATGCCATAATAAAAGTGAAAAATGTCGCAATTTTTTTCTGTGGTCCAATGTGGTTGGTTGATGGGACCTAGTAAGTTTTACCACTAGGCGAACTAGTGCTTAGTTTTCCCGTCTTGCATGGTTGGGTTTACTCACCATCAGACGGCTAGATACTGTCAACGATTTTAAAATCCTTTGAATACTTGAAGTTATCAGGGCGTTTTCCGTCCTCAAAGGAAGTAGGCGTTCATAAATGGCAGTCGGAAACTTGAATTCATGATC